CACGGACACACATCTCAGGATGTACTGAGGTGTGTAGCTGCTTAACCAGCCTCAGCTTATATTTTAGATCAACAAATGAAATTTAGGGACTTCCCTGGTGGTCCAGTGGTAAAAAATCCACCTTCCAGTGCAGGGGACGCAGGTTCGATCCCTAGTGGGAGAACGAAGATCCCTCATGCCGCGGGGCAACTAAGCCTGTGCACCGCAACTACTGAGCCCACGCGCTCTGGAGCCCGCGTGCCACAACTAGAGAGAGGCCCTCGCGACGCAGCGATAGATCCCGCGTGCCTCAACTAAGACGCCACGCAGCCAAAATTTTTTTTCAAAAACTAAAAATAAATATTAAAAAAAGTTTAAAAACAAATGACATTTACCAAGAGGGCCCCATCAGCCCACCAAACACTCTTCCTGGGAGCTCCTGACCTCCCCTCTCTGAGGGGAGAGGGTCTGTCTTCAGACCTGCAGGAGGGTTGCCAAAGCCATGCCTAGGAGCACCCTCTGCCCCGGTGTTGGTGGCAACCTTGGAGGAGGTTGCCTCAGAGCCACTTGGGAGAGGCAGTGTGACACTGCATGCAAGTGCACATGTGCTGAATGCTTCACATCCCAGGCCCAGCCCTTTCTAATGAGATTTAAGTGAGGATTAACAAGTAAAGCATGTTGAAGGCACTAGAAGTACCAGCTCTCCTAGGGAGGTTGACAGAGCGACTTGGTAAGCTAGCTATTGCTTTTCACAGTTGAGAAAAGCCCTCATCATCAGGGGCTCATGTGACCTCCCTTCACTCTGCAGGAGGCCGCCTATAGCGTCTGGGATGGACTCTATTTATTTATTTATTGTTGGCTGTGTTGGGTCTTTGTTGCTGTGCACTGGCTTTCTCTTTGCGGCGCGCGAGGGCTACTCTTCGTTGCAGTGCGCAGGCTTGTCATTGCGGTGGCTTCTCTTGCTGCAGAGCACGGGCTCTAGGCACGTGGGTTTCAGTAGTTGTAGCATGGGATGGACTCCTTTTGATTCCATGGGAGGCAGCCCTGTCCAATGGATATAATGTGAGCCACACCAGTAATTTTAGATTTTCGGTAGCCACATTAAAACAAGTAAAAAGAACCACGTGAAATTAATTGTAATAATATATTTAACTTAATATACCAAAACTATTGTTTCAGTATACAGTATAAAAAATATTAGTGAGAGTACTTGTTTTTTGGGGATTTTTTTGTAGTATGCGGGCCTCTCACTGTTGTGGCCTCTCCCGTTGCGGAGCACAGGCTCCGGACACACAGGCTCAGCGGCCATGGCTCACGGGCCCAGCCGCTCCGCAGCATGTGGGATCTTCCCGGACCGGGGCACGAACCCGTGTCCCCTGCATCGGCAGGTGGACTCTCAACCACTGCGCCACCAGGGAAGCCCGAGTACTTGCTTTTTAAACTGCGTCTTCAAAATCCAGTGTGTATTTGACACTCACGGCTCATCTGGGTTTGCAACAGCCCCGCTGCAAGTGCTCAGTGGTCACGTGTGGCTGCCACCATGGAAGGTGCACCTCTAGGGCCTGTAGGATAGCCAAGCCCATGCCCTGATTCTTGGGGATGTACAGGGAGGGAGGGAGGGAGATTACACTGCGGAGGCTGGCCTTTCTGTCCGTGGTGTCATTTAATCTTCAGAGCAACCTCAGGAACTAGGTATTATTGTGCTTAATTTTTAGAGGCTCAGGCTTGCCTGAGGTCACTGGACAAATTGCTCCCCCTTCAGCCTTCTGGCTGGTCAGCTTGCTCAGGATTTTTGCTGCCAGGACATCTGGTCAGTTCCATTCAAGGCCAGCCTACCCTCCCAGACCATCTCCCCGGATGCTCTCCAGGGTGGGATGCATGGGAGCCTGGGGAGCTCAGCCCTGGGCTCTCACTTGGCTGAAAACGTACCTGGAGGCTGAAAGCAGACTGGCTCCATCCGCTTTTTTGTGAAAGGAGCCTCTGGGGACTGAGCCTCCCCCCATGTCCCCTGATTTAAGCCCTTGCTCCATGGCCCACCCACCTCGTGGTTACAAGCGTCCCGAGGGCAGCTGGTGCGTTACTATCCAACCTATGCATTTCTCGGGGCACTTGAAGGGCCTCTGTGATTACTGTCACTCTGCGGGGCGGCCTGAACCAATTTCCTGAGGATGATAGATTTCTTCTCATTTGCTGCTCTCAAGCTGCGGTTCCTTCTGTGTCTGGGAGCAAAACACTTTAAAAAGAGGTCATTTCCTGGGACTAACCCCCGGGGGAGGGGGCTTTGGAAGGGGAGTTGTCCCAGGCAGCACCCACTCGGCCCCTTCTGCCCGGTGGTAGGGATGACTGCCCCCACCCCCCAGGCTCAAGGGAAGCCAGGCTCGGGGAAGGGAGAGGAGAGAGGGGTGGGCTGGTGGGGGGTGGGTAGCGAGGCTGGGAGAGGGTGTGGAGGGGATGGGAGTGGAGGGTGGGAGGGATAGGAGTGGAGGGATGGGAGGGGTGGGTGGCAGGGAGTGGACGGTGGGAGGGGAGGGTTGTGATGGTGTGGGAGGGGCGGGGAGTGGTGGGAGGGGCGGAGAGTGGTGGGAGGGCAGCAGCCCGTAGCTCCTGCTTGGATGTCCTCTGGGGGGTGGTTCTCAACGATGGCTGCATGTCAGAATCACCTGGAACTTTAAAGATCACCAGGCACCACCCACAGAGATACTGATTTTAAGGGTCCGGCGTGTGGCCTGGGATCCGGCTGTTTAGAAGTTCCCCGGGTCATTCTAATGCACTGGATGGAGGCACTCTCTGTCCTGCAGGTGTGAAGAGACAGAGACAGCCCCTTGTCTAGAGAAATTGTCCAAGACTTGAAAATGGGCAAAGTGATACTGGGCGTGCCGGGTGCAGCTCATGCCCAGGGGTTGCCTTGTCCTGGCCGAGCCTGGACCCTTGTCTTTCTCTTGACGAGGCTACTTTACAGCTCGATGGAGGAGAAGTTGAGCTGTAGAAAATGGAAATAATTCTTGTCCACAACAGTGCAAATGGATTTTGTCCCGCAGAGATACAATTGGTTTCTGTCATCTGGAGAAGATGACCTCAAACATTACATTTTATTGCCCCATTGACCAGTTTTGCATCTCTTAGCAAATTCGTTCTGGCGTTCCTGATTGCCTCTATACATGGCTGATTTTCAAATTTTCCTTTCAACTGGTCTTAATATCTTATCGGTTCCCTCATTAATTAATGAGTTGGAAACAGTTACTTACATATGTCCATTTTATGTGAAAGTCATGTTTTCAACTTTTTGAACATTATAATTTAGCCCCCCTAAGGGTGAGCGGTGTGCCCCTCCCTTCCTGCTTCCTCAGCCCCTACACGCCGTCCCGCCGTCTCCATCACCTTGTGCTGTCTGACCTGCCTGTCTGCCCAACTATACTCAAATGTATGCACATGAAGTTGTTCATAGTATTTATATATAATTTTTAAATCTCTCCTACATCTGGAGTTAGATCCCCTTTTCCATTCCTGATAGTGTTTGTCTTTTACGTTTTTTCTTGCTTTTTTTCTCGGCTAGACTTTTTCTTTTTTCAGAACTTTTTCAAAGAAAGCACTTGTTTCATTGATGCCCTCTCTTTGTTTTCTATTGACAGTTCATGAATTTTTGCTTTCACCTTCGTTATGTCTTTTATCTCACTTTCTTCAGCGTTACTCTGCTGTCTTTTTTTTCTAGCTTCTTGAATTGCCTGCTTAGCCCATATTTTCCACCTTTCTTATTTTTAGGGGTTTCCGGCGCCCTTTAAGTACCATGTTAGCTGCATCTCCCATGTTCTGATGACCTAGTGGACACACCTCCTATGCACTTCTGTGGCCCCCCTTCCTTTTTTTAAAATTAATTAATTAATAATTATTATTATTATTTTATCTATTATTTTTTGGTCGTGCGGCATGTGGGATCTCAGTTCCCTGATCAGGGATGGAACCCTCACCCCCTGCGTTGGAGGCGCAGAGTCTTAACCACTGGACCACAAGGGAAGTCCCCTGGTGGCCCCTCATCTTACTCCGGCTGCTGCCAGCACTTCTGCCCAGAGCGGGCATCCAAGTGGAGAATAAAGAAGCTGCAGACTCCTTAAGTCACAGCCTTGGAGATCACAGTATCACTTCTGCAGCATCCTATTGTCAAAACAAGTCACGGGGCCAGCCCGGATCCGAGAGAGAGGGAAATAGACTCGACCTCTTGTCAGAGAGTGACAAAGAATTTTCCATCATCTTCCAGCCACCACCACAATGAAAATACTGCCCATCTAGTCTATTTATATAAAGTTCAAAACAGACAAAACAAATCTACAGGAATAAATAGGTGAATAGAGGTTGCTTCTGGGGGTTGGGGCTGGGGATGGACTGAAAAACTATACAAGGGGATTTTCCAGGGTGCTGGCAAGACTCTATAGTGAGTGGGGGGGGGTGTCAGTTACATGGGTGTATATGTATTTGTCAAAACTCATCAAACCGGACACTTAAAAGCTGGGCGTTTGAGCTTCCCTGGTGGCGCAGTGGTTGAGAGTCCGCCTGCCGATGCAGGGGACGCGGGTTCGTGCCCCGGTCCGGGAAGATCCCACATGCCGCGGAGCGGCTGGGCCCGTGAGCCATGGCCGCTGAGCCTGCGCGTCCGGAGCCTGTGCTCCGCAACGGGAGAGGCCGCAACGGTGAGAGGCCCGCGTACCGCAAAAAAAAAAAAAAAAA